GAGGTCGTATTTGAGTAATTCTTGTATAGTTGGACTCTTTATCGAATGGGTGTTCGGATTTTGTAATTTTGGTCGGGCTCCGAGACCTAGGCCCGGGTTGACCTTTCGAGTTGACTCTTTATTTCTTTGCAAAGATCGTAACTTTATCGTTCGAAATAGTTTCCTATAGCTATATTTATAGTATGAAGTTGTTTTGTCTAGATTCGAGCCATTCAGAGTTGGATAATAGAGGGAAAGGCCTACAAGCGGATTGAGTTAGTGTGGTTTGAGATAAGTGTCTTGCCTAACTTTGTAGGGGTTAGTTACCCTTTAGGATCGGTGTTGTTGTGATAACTGTAATGTGTGAAAGCCGTGTATGCAAGATGACGAGTCTGTGCACGTGCTAAATGTGAAAATTACCGGTTTTAGCTATGTAGATTCCTTTCACGCCTTAATTGAGTTGCCTTAACATGTTATAGTCATCCTTTCTAGTCTATTTTCACATGCTCTACTTGTCTTATTTTTTACTTGTTAATTGCTCTACATGTTTAGTTGAAGTTCTTGTTTTCCTTATTCCATATTCATTATGTAACAGTTGAATTCTTTACTTGAAGTTGTTATTCTTGGAATATCTTGTTGTTTAAAGAGGCATTGAGTTATAAAGTCCGTGATTCACATTAAGACAAAGTGTTAAGTTGTGAAATACTATTTTGTTGAGTTATTCACTTCCGTTTGTTATTGTTGGGACTCTTGTGTACATTGTGGTTGAGCCACGGGCTCTTTATTGTGAAAATATTGTTATTGTTGATTTCTTTGGCAAGTTGGGATATTGGGTACTTGAGGTGCAATTTGTGATACGTTGTGATATTGATACGCATACAGTGGTATAAGGTTTTGGGGTTGAAATGCATGCCGTGTAAGGTGGGCTTGATATTCATGGCTAGTAGGGAAACTACTAGAAGTCATGCGGTGTGATAAGGTGGGCTAAAATACGGGATGCTATTTCGAGAAAATAATTTTCAAAACTAAATGCAGGGCTCCCGCGGTAATATAAGGAAAGATTGTGAATTATTCTTGTGATTTGAGACTACGAGGCTGTCACGCTCCAACTTCGGGGAGCGCGACCGGCGCTCAACCGAGTGGACCCCGTTGAGCAAGCCTGTTAGACACGTTCTACCCAACCCGCTTATGACCAACAGAAGGCGCGTTTTCATTAGATTAAATAGTAGGAGGATCAAATATTTACAATATTACTAATTCATTTCATTTTAATCATTGTTAAGTTTCCAAAATACCTATACTTTACAATCTAGGGGAAACAAGAGTCCAAAACATGTCATAATCCACCTGACCTTTCTAGCACCCATACACAACCCACATAAATGTCTACGGAGCCTCTAAAGATAAAAAAGACAATTATGATAATGCCGGTAACAAGGCTCCGACTATACCTCATAACGTGGTAAACATATAAACAAAAGATGCACTACATGACCCCGGGATTGAGCCCCAGCTCACCAAGTCTGCTAGAAAGATGATGATGATGTACCACTAGCTGCGAACACTGCCGGCTAGGGAACCACCTACATCCATTTAAAGATGTAGCGCCCCAGGCAAAAGGGACGTTAGTACTGTCGAATAGTACTAGTATGTAAAGCTAAACACCAATCTTTATAGAATGAACAATGAAACAAAGGGGAAGCAGTCATGATGTACAATAAGAGCTTCAAACAAATACTAAAACATCAAGTAAGGATCACATAAGTTCTGGATTCAATTTCCATCTTATTAGGTTTGTAATTTTAGTGCCATGTGCCACAATCCACCATACCACCGTGTTCTTACACGGAGTCTAATCTCGACCCGATTAGCTAGGTCATCTCAGCTGAGACATCAACCATATCTATAATTTCAATCATCATTTCCAGCATAGTTACCACCATGTGTACGGCATGGCGTCCGATCACGGCCCGATCATCTAGGCCATCTCACTTGAGATCATCCTTTCAATCGTTCATCTCACTTCACATTTATTTCCCATCTTTCAACACATCGGCACAAGTGACCTTATTTATTAAGTCGTTCTTGGCACTTCCAGTATTTTACAATCCAAGTTTTCCTTTTTATACATTCAAATAACATTATCATCAACATAAATAAGGCCTATCATGTAAGACATTTGCACATAAGGGAAAATCTTGGAAAATCTTAAGCACACAGAGGCTTTGCATACCACTTGGCATAACAACCTTTATTCGATTTTTTACATGAATTCTTAACCTTTCTCAACACATATTTCACATTTTTAACACATCCTCAAAGGGCATGATGACATGATTTTAGAGCAAATATTGCACATGAATCTTTCAACACAACACATTAGGGCAATCAGTTCTAGTATGATCAATTTAGGGACGTACACCAATTACACGAACTCTAGGGGTTCGATTCTAAGAAGAAGGGGGTTTAGCCATACATACCTCAATTGAGCCTCTCAAACTTTAAGACGATCCGGAATTTAGCAACTTCAATCTATGTTAATAATATAGCAAAAATTGAACCCAAAATTAGGAAAATGATCATAATTCTAGCCCACTTGAGCATTCTATCAAACTCTTTGTGTGAATTAAGGTTTTATGGCCCTTTTTATGAAATACTACACCAACCCACACCCCATTCTTTTCCATCGTTTTACTCACAAACTCCCCACATACCATAAGAATACATGCATGCAAGCTAAGCACTCCTATCCCCATGAATTACCTTTATTATTGGCCCATTCTAGTTGCATTTTAAAATTAAGAGTTTAAGTAATATAATCTTACCTCTTAGGAAGAAGACCTAGGTGCCTTTCTTGATAACCTCCAAGGTGTTAAGCAAGAATAAAAGAGTAAATTTGATGAAGATCACCTTATCTCTCTACTACCCTCTTCCTCTCTCTCTAAAGATATGAGAAACTAGCTAAAAATGGCCCTTACATCTATTTTAACGAAGTTGGGTCGGGTTTTAAAACCCCAAAAATGAAGCTCCGAAACAGGTTCTGCGGTCGCATATGCGACCGCATAATGGTTATTAATTTTTCTGTGGACTTCCGGAAATCTGTTTCATGTAGCTTGGCAAGGAAATTTTGAGTCGTGATGCGGTTCACGAAATGACCATGAAAAGTGGCCCTGGGAACTGGGCTGGTCTACCTCACTCTGCGACCATTATGCGGCCCGCAGACCTGTTTTGCGGTCGCATAATGCGCCTCAAAACCTCCCTCCGCAAAAGTCCAAGAACGATTATGCGACCAAAGTGCGGCCCGCGAAATAGATATGCGATCGCATAATTGGCCGCGAAACTGACCTCAAAATTGGCCAAAAAGACTGCTTCACTCTACGGCCATTCTGCGACCCGCAGAGTGATTATGCGGCCGCATAATGGGCCGCAAAAATGCCTACTTCTGAAAAAATATTTTCTTCAACTTTTTAACATACAGTTCAATCCAAAAAGTCCTAACCACGGCGAGCTTGCTCGCCGCGAAGAATTTCAACAATCTCTAACACATAATCCTAACTTGGCACCACGAAATTCCCATTTTTTAGGAAGAACATTACGGGGCCTTACAGAGGCGGTACCTTGGTAGTGACTCTTGTTGATATTTCTCTATTGCTGCAGTTGTCTTTGGTTGTTTTGTTTCCTCAGCATGTCATTCCTTATTTTTCTCCGTGTTGCATTATTTGCTTTAGTTCTGTGTAGCTAACCTTGATATTTTATTTGTTGTTTCAATTGCATTACTATCATTACTACACTGCCATACACTTGTATAGTTTTTCTTATTATTTTCCAGTAGGGCCTTGAACTGACCTCGTCATCGAGGTTAGGCTTGGCACTTACTGGGTAACGTTATGGTGTACTCATGCTATGCTTCTGCACATCTTTTTGAGCAGATCCAGGTACCTTCTACCATCCAAGTTATTAGCGAGAGCTTAGCTGCGCAGACTTCAAGGTATACCTGTCGGCGTCTGCAGGCCTCGGAGTCCCCCTCTACCTAGACTATTCTATTTTTCCTTATCCTTTTATAGACATGGATGTACATGATTATAATCCAGTACTAATATTTAGATCTTGTGACTTGTATTCGCTGGGTCTTGGGAGTTGTATATGCTGAGTTGCAGAGTTTATTTTATGTAGTTGCTGAGTTTTGAGGTTTTAATTATTATCTCAGTTATTTCTGCATGAATATTAGGCTTACCTAATCTTAGAGACTAGGTGCCATCACTACATCCTACGTAGGGAAATGGGTCGCGACACAGGTGCAACGGCTAGATACGTTACGAGCCATCTCTTAACTTGATTTTTTTTGTCGATATATTTGATATTTTCTTTCAAATACCCATACTTTTTTTATTATATATCTATAGATATTATTATATTATAATTATAAAAGCAGGAAAATTCAATACAATAGTATTTACTTTATTTTAGTTTGACGAAAATAATTCATAAAGAGAAACTTGCATTTTGCTTGCAAAAGAAAGAAAAAAACCGTGTTACGTCAATTACCTAACCACCTTTATGTTTTTCTAGAATAAACATAACATAACTTAAAAATAACTTTCCAAAAAGAATTCAAAAAAACAGAAAAGAGTTTACATCTTCAAAAAAATGCACGTACATAGAGTGAACAGAAATTAGATAGATGCCAAGAGTTCTGGCCATAACAGATTAATCAAAACGTCAGAATTGAATATACACTAAGAACATCATCTAAAAGGAAGAATTAGTTGAGCTATGATAATATCACATGATTGTACCTAATAACGTCAAAATTAATCTCATTTATCGTACCAACATAACTAAAGTAATTGTTAAATATCGTTACAAAACGATATCTAATTATTTTTGTGTTCAAATTTCATGTTACACGTCACATACATATTTTAATATTATTTAGTTATACTCATTGATATGGGTTATACTTGTAAGGCGCGTGTCGAGAAACTAGTAAAATATAAATAGTAAGAACAAGAATACAACAATTCATTTATATGCTATATCGCATTTATTAACCTATATATAAATATAGAAAAGAAAAGCTAAACTTGGGAACCAACATCTGAGCATAGAGAATTTAACGTAAGGCAGTGAAAAACAAGGAAGAATACAGCAATTCATATATCTGCTGCTGCATGCATTCACCAAACTAAACACTCAGAGCTGCATAGTTCTCAGGGTTTTGTTGTTTCTAAAGGTGTCTGAGTGTCTCGATCAACGGCATTAATATGGAGTCTGTGGAAGCTAGTTTTTGAGAGAGCTTCTCACTGAGATCATCAACCTCACTGTGCAGCATTTTGATATAATTACACGTCTCTTCCAATGTCTTCGAGGCTGGTACCTGTATATCCAAGATCAATGTAAAGAGCGAAAAGACCCCAGACACCTTGTAGTAAAGTGATCTAAGCCATAACACATTTTTTTTTCTTTGCTGAAAATAAAGTTAGCAGAATGTTTTTTTATTGTTTATTGCAGAGCTTGGTGATTGGGAATGTCACTTTACAATTCGCAGTCTATAATAGCTTGTTCATTCAAGTAGAAAAGCAACGACGATAATACTAGTTGCATTCCCTATGCCAATTTTGTCCATAAAGAGTTAGGCTACAGAAAAGGAGAAGTATATTGAATTGTACTTCTTCCATTCACTTTTACTTGACCACTATTCTAAAAATAGATTTTTAGTTTTACTTGTCACTTTTAACATATCAAGAGAACAATATCTTTTTTCCTATTGTATCCACAACATTAATTACTCATTTCAAATCATTTCTCAAATTCATTAAAAATATGCATCAATTAATATGTATTATGGTAAATTATGCACTTCATTTATTATTTCTTAAGAGGTGTGCAAAGTCAAAAGTAGACAAGTAAAAGTGAACGGAGGGAGTACATGTCACCATCTCATCTAAAAGTTTAAGTTTTTAAGTTTTAACATAGCATTAGAGCATGTAAGAGCCTAAGAGGTCTTGAATATTGAAGTCTCGAGCACCCATGCATGCCAATAATCCAAAATAATTCATGTACTTAGCCAATTAAAAAAAAACAGACTCCCACGTGAAGAACACTTTAAAAAGTGCAATTAACCAAATGAAAGTGTATACCTCGGAAGTGCATCTTGAAGAGGAATCTGGCAACAAAGCTTGTAGTTTCAAGACGAGATTACTAATCTCATCTGGAGTAAGTTTTAAAGCTGATCTTCTTCTCCTGCTAGACATGATTTATAGTTCTTTTGATTTCCTCTCTATTCTCTTACTAGCCAAATGAATGCAAATGCATGAGGTCTCTATGAGTTATTTTATAAGTAAATGTGGACACAATCTAAACGAAAAAGACAAAACAAGAAAGGAGTTCCCCCCCCCCCCCCCCCCAAGCCATAAACTCCTTCTACCAGACAGACCCCCACACCTTTGAGGAAATGAAAAGGTTATTAGAGGGAATTGGAGGATATCTATACAAAGCAGAATTAAGCAGCTAGCTAGAGCTAATTAAACTACTACTCCCTACTAGAGAGGTCCCATATTCTGTTTCAATCTTTATCCAATTATGTTTCGGATGTAGGACAAAGTAACCACTATATACAAGAATATAATAGAAAAATTCCAAATTTAGCTTCATTTCCTTAACGCTTAAAGTACCCTTAATTTTACACATGTCCTCAGTTGATTGTGTATAAACTGGACATAATAAACTAGTTTACGTGCTATTTGGAAAGGATTTTACTTATCTACAATCTTAATACATCATTTTTTTTACCTATTACATCAGGTTATCCACTTTGCCTTTTGAGTTTAAATTTTGCGCATTGACTATGTAAAACTATATTTTTGCACAACTATATCACTTATGAGGTAATTACAGAAAAATCTCTAGATAAGCATTAATTGATAAAATCGTAAAAATGAGCAACTAACTTGGTATTACAATAAAACAGAAGGTAAATAACGTAAATCCTTTTCGGATTACCAAATTCGAACTAATATAAACAGTTACCTATCTCTAGAAATAAAACCATAAAGAATAGTGTTTGCCTTTTCTTAATCAGGAGCGTTCTCTCCTTCCTAAACCTAGTATGCAGTCTTATGATAGTAATGAGTTTCCCCATAAGGAAGTTCAGAAGCTTGAAAGAAGTAGTTTTCTACATAATCTTTTGGATAAGTTTACCTTTCCGCATCACTTCGTAAAGGGTATATCTGCTCACCTTGAAATTTTTGAGGAGGGTGAGGTCCTATGTTCCCCTCCTATATTTACTTTTTGTATTCTAATATACATGGTAGGGGTTTAAGCCTAACCCCCTACCCTCACCAAAGGAGATGAAAACCTGGGTAACTGGTTTTATTATAAAAAGGAGTGTTTTTCGCAATTCTCTTTTCCGATTAGTCACGGTGGTTGGTTCCAAGGGTGTCTATCGGGTGGGCCGGGCCGGACTGGGTAGGAAAATTTAGGAATCGTACGGGTTGCGATCCGGGCCGGTTACGGGCTGGGGCTTACCGGGTTTAACGGGTTCGGGTTCATCGGGTAACATATGAACCGTAAGGGTTAGGGGTACAAGGGGCTGGGCTGGGTTAGTGTAATTTTTAATTTTTTTTTTTTTGTATTTTGTTTTTGTATAACTATTGTAAGTTATATTAATATAAAGTAAAAATATAAAGAATACAATGAAGATGGGAAAAAATTGCACTTATAAATTGCAAGTGCTACATTTATTTCAAAATTCAAACTTACAAATTGAAAGGTTTACATTTAACAACAAGCAAATTAACGAAAAAAGAATAAATTCAAAGGCTCCATTATTAAAAAAAAAAAAATTAAGTTAGCCGTTATACTGGTTTGGACCGGTCCGGTCCGGGCCGGTTAACCGGTTGAATAGTAAAAATCGTTGACCGGGTTTGACCGATCCGGTTAATCGGTAGGAAGTAAGTAGACGGACCAACCCCCCTTACCCCTTTTACTTTAACAAAATGATTGTAGTGAAAGTATTTTCTTTCATTTCAACAAAATGATGTATGTAAAAGGTATTTTCTTTCATTTCAACAAAAAAGTACTCGTACTTTCTTTCATGACGTAGAAAAATTATTTTCTTTTACTTTAACAAAATGATGTAGTACAAGTATTTTCTTTCATTTTGAACAAAATGAGTATTTTATTTCCATGATGTAGACAAAATATTTTCTTTCATTTCAACAAAATGAATACTTTCTTTTCATGTTGCCGAGAGAGTACTTTTTTTAAACCAAAAAAAAAGTATTTTCTTTTTAGTTATGGAGCATAAATTTCAACGTTATTTTGCGTGAAAAAAATAAAGCAACACATTAGTTCCTTGATTTTGTGTGAATTTTTAAAAGAATAGTTAAATTCTTGAAGAAAATAAAATCCTAAAAATATTGGGTATTTGGGTTTGGGGGGTGGGGGTGGGGGGGGGGGGTAGGGAGGGGGAGAGCACAAGAAACATGGGGATTTGGGGGAGGGGGGGTGAGGATAGTGCATAGAAATTATTTTTCTAACAAAAATTTTTACTCTCTAACCAAACAGTAGAAAATATTTTCCGAAAAAGGTTTTTCACTCACCAACCAAACAAGGAGAAATAAGAGATAAAACCACTCATTTTTCAAGAAAATATTTTTCAGAAAAATTTTTTTCATGAAAAACGTTTTCCTTTGTACCAAACTCACCCATAGTATGATTTAATATTTCCTAAATAAATTATGTTGAAGACAACGTGATGATAAAAAAGTATTAGACCTGTGTCGACCCAGAATCCAAGTAGGGTAACTAAGAAGCCAAAAGAGATGCTCATTTTCCTTGTGTTATGTTTACAATTTATTACATGAATGAGCAAGTTGCAACACCATCTTAATTAAGAGGGGCCAAACCTAATGAAAAATCATTGTGTTACAGCTTTTTAGGGTTGTTATTTCATTTATAACTGGCATCATAGGTGGTCCCTTGTACTACGATCGTCAAAAATAGCGTAAGAGATCTGCAGTTAACAGATTAATTAGTTATTAAGGATTAAAATGTGACGAACCAGCCGGTCATCTTGTGTATTGTAGCCCCATGCCTCTGCTTACTGCTTATTCTATGTTCACTTGTGGTTACGTGACTTACCGGGGTGGTTGGTTTGCTTCCGGGGATGTTTTGGAGTGAACTGGGACACTTAGTCCCAAGGTTGGAAGCTTAAGTTGAAAGAGTTGATCGGATGTTGACTTATGTGTAAACGATTCTGGAATGGAGTTTTGATGGTTTCGATAGCTTCTTATGGTAATTCTAAACTTAGGAGTATGTCCGGATATTGAATTGGAGGTTCGTAGGTCGTTTTGGCTTGAATTCGCGAAAGTTATAAAGTTGAAGGTTTGGAAGGTTGAGAAGTTTGACTGAGAGTTGACTTTGTTGATACCAGCCTCGGATTTTGGTTTCGGAAGGTTGAATAGGTCCGTTGTGTGACTTATGACTTGTGTGCAATATTTGAGGTTAATCGGAGTTGGTTTGATATGATTCGGCATTGGTTTTAGAAGTTGGAAATTCCTTAATTTCATTAGGCTAGAATTGGGGTGTGATTCGTGATTTCGATGTTATTTGATATAATTTAAGGCTTCGATTAAGTTCAGATCGTGTTTTAGGACTTGTTGGTATGTTTTGTTGAGGTCCTGGGGGCCTCGAGTGGTTTTCGGATAGTTAACGGATCTATATTTGGACTTCAAGCATGCCTGAAGAGTTTTGGGATTTGGGTCTGGCTATGGAACTTCGCAGGTGCGATCAGTGTTTCTGCAGAAGCGAAGTCGCTTCTGCGTGGGGAGTTCTGCAGAAGCGGATTTTGGACTAGAGGGGCTAGGACCGCAGATGCAGATAGTTTCCGTAGGTGTGCACGTGCAGAAGCGTGAGGTTGACTGCATGCAAAAGCGGGAGCGCAGGTGCGCTGATTTTGTACGTAGAAGCAGAATCGCTGCCAGTGATTTAAAATCGAGGGTTTGAGTCTTCTTTCATTTTGGGAATTTTGGAGTTCAGACTAAGACGATTTTTGGAGAGGCTTCCACCTAGATTGAAGAGGTAAGTGACTTCTAGTCACTTTTGTCCATGAATATTGAATACCCATTGATTATTTCACCTATTTCTCGTGAATCTAAGTTAGAATTTGGGGATTTTGGAATATGTTATTAGAGAGTTAAATTTGAGGATTTGAGAGTCAAGTTGTGGTTGAAATTGGATGATTTTGGTATGGTTGGACTCGTAATTGAATTAGTGTTTGGAATTTATAAATTTTATTAAGTTTGGATGTGCAAGGCACGGGGTTGACTTTTTTGGTTGACTTTTTGACTTGAGTTAACGATCTTAGCCTTATCTTTTGGACTCACTTTCTATGGCCTTTGTTGATAGTATTGCGTTATTTTGGCTAGATTCGAGCCTTCTGGAGGTTGATACATGCGGGAAGGTCTTGTTAGCAAAGTGATGTGGTTTGATTGAGGTAAGTATCTTATCTAAATTGGTTGAAGCACTAGTTGCCTGAATTATTTGTGATAGCTATGTGCTATGAGTGCGCACATGTGTAGGATTTGAGCCCATGTGCTAACACTGGGTTACTTATCCATGCTCAGGATAGTGTTTAGGCGCGTTATGCCTTGAATTGATTGTTAAGCTTCAAATTGAGTTGTTTCTCCTATGTGTACCCCTCTATGAGATATTTGTACCACGTTGAGATTTTATTGAGATTATTTTCCCGGTTGGGACTGATAAACTATATTCCTTGATGAGATGATCTGTTTTATTAGTGATAGCATACATTGCACATGCCTACACTATACCATGCTAGATATACCAGTCCAGTAGTATGAATTTGGTCATAGTTGATCATGTACACGTATTCTCGTATAATTGCATCTTTGTGTTATGAACTGGACTGGTAGCCTATGACCACACTGAGCAGATTGTGATTGTTGGAACGTGAGTTGTCCATGCTGTTGATATTATTGGCACGTGAATTGTTCGTGCAGCACGTTGTCCGTGTGGATCCATATATTGACTTTATTAGCACGTGAGTTGTCCGTATAGCACATGTGTTATCCGTGTGGTTTATATTATTAGTACTAGTTGTCCGTGCAGCGTATGAAAACAGATCCATCCCCCTAGGGTCACCCTCTCATGTTTCTCTCTTGATGGTGTATACGCGAATATTGAGAAAAGTCTGACCAGTGTTGTCCGGAATTGCATTTCATCTGTACTTGCAAATTTTCCATGGATTATTATCTGAATGATCTGCAAATCATGTCTATA